TGCGTGCATTTAGCAAATATCTGTTTTGTGTCTACTGTGTGCTAGGCATTGTCCAGGCACTGGGAGTGCACTTGAGAGCACGAGTTCATTGAGGTAGTGGCTGTTAGAATCAGGGCTTTAAACCCAATCAGTAAATTCAGAGGAAATATAAGCTTGTTATCTATTTTAGGAAGTGGATTGATGGTTCACTAAGTCATATTTGGTTTTATAAGAAGTTTGGCAAATCCATGTGATCAGTTCTTAATTGGGGTCAGTGGCTTGATTCAATCTTGACATTCAACCTGACTGTTAAAATAGATGGAAATCTTGTTACGTGGGACATTATGGGAGTCAGTGGTCTACAAAAATGAGCAAGTATGTGTTGACTGCTGCCTCCCTGCCTTACTGCTTAAAGATGGAAGCATCCTGGTTTAGGAGAGAGGTACACGGTGTGTATCATGCAGGATCTACATTTGAAAACATGCTGTGCATCAGTGTTGTCTGGTGTTTGTGGTTGAATCATATTCCGTTTGATGTAACTGGATTTCACCTGACCCAAATAATGTGCAGGCATTTGCCCAGCAGGCCCACTGTTCCACTTTTAAACAGAGACCCCCTTTCAGACTCAGCCTGACCCCAAACACTGCCAGTTTTCCATTAAAGTACTCTCTTGCAATAAATGGCCTTAGAGGAGGCAGTTAGAATTTTATTTTTGAAAGAACAATATAGGGGAATAGTAGTCTTTGAGAAGGCAAGAAATGTATTACAGAAACCAGGGTCCATTCTAAGGCTAGCCTTGCTGTACATTTTCCCTAAGCTTTTCCCATGAACCAAAAGAAAGATTAAAATTCCAACAGAAGGAAAATCGCCTTGGAGAAATATCTTGAGACCGATGGATTTATTTCATGTGTGACTTAAAATAGCGCAGGTTTCTAGCACTGCACTAAGCTGTATTTCTAATGAGTTCCTGTTACCCTACTTTTCTTCAGCTTTCTTTCACATGGCCTTGCCTACAGACAGAAACAGGCTAATTGCTACCATAACAGTTTTACTATCTTTCTTTGAGAAATCCACAAAATGGCCCATTTTTAAGACAGGAGATCCAAGGGGTGGGGGATGTAGCTTTTCTGAGGTCATTTCTTTGCTCCCAAGGGCCACATTTGGGGTTGAGCTGCATTTCTGGGCTGTGAGCCTGGGCTGGTCTTATTGGTTCCTTGTTCCTCTCAGGATTCATAATGCCATTTGGGCCAGTTATGTGTGAGTTTGTAAAAACAAAAAAAGCAATGTATTAAAGTTATTGGGCAGCTAAGTGAGGTTGCTTGTCCTGTCAAACTTCAGCCTGTGAGGAGGTGGAAGAGTGTTAAGAAAGCAAGAGTTGAGGGCCCTTGGCCATTTGGGGTGCCCTGGAGTCCAGGGGGGAAGCAATGAATATCCCCAAAGGAGCCATCTTGATCAGGCCCATTTTGCAAGACTTTGGCAACCAACGATCTGGTCACAGCAGGGGGACCCTCGCATAGCATAGCTTAAGAGAGATGCCAGTTTCACAGATGTTTGGCTGAAGCCCCTCATTAAAAACGTGTAGTTTGTCCTCTAAACCCCTTTTCTGTGAGATTCGAGGATGCCGTGTGGGGCTACGGGGTGGGGGGAGTTGCTTGGCCAGGATTTTTGTGTGGCTTATTGTTCCTGCTTGTCCCCGTTCTAGAGAATGCCAGACAGAGGCAGGAGGGCATCGTGAGCAATTCCATCATGTACTTCACAGAGGAGCCCCCTGAGCTGCCGGCCAACAGCCCGCACCCCCTGAAGCTGCGGCGCATCCTCAACCTCAGCCCTTTCACGGTCACAGACCACACCCCCATGGAGACGGTGGTGGACATCTTCCGGAAACTGGGGCTCCGGCAGTGCCTGGTGACGCGGAGTGGGTGAGTGGCGGGACAAGTGTGGACAGAATGTGTACTGTGGCCGGACTCGGGAGAAAAAGATGCATAGTCAGCCCTTAGGGAACTCACGGTGTGCTGGGTGGACCAGTGCTCGCCAGGTGATGTCACGGAGTCGTGGTGAGTGTATTGAGAAGGAAATGTACAAGGAGCTTTGGGACCTGGAGCCGAGATGGCCAGTGCAGCCCAGGAAGGCGGGAGACGCTTGCAGGCTGCAACCCTGTCTGGGCCGAGTCTGAGGGTGGAGTCAAAAAGGGGAGGAGCCAGAGGAGAGGGGCTTGGGGCTGCTTTTCTATCACCTGGATGGTACTTGGCTCAGGGAGAAAGTATGGCCAATTCTGTCCTAACGCAACACAGGCGTTCCTCAACATCACAGCGCCATGCAAAAATGAGCAGTGAAAACCACAGGACTTATGGGGAAAATGGAGTTAGGCGCACAACACTCAAAAACTTCATCAGTGACACGTTTAAAGAAGCGATGGAAACATAATACAAATGGTAGTGCCATTTTATACATGTTAAATGGTCAAGAAATACATGAATATGCCAATAAATGTCACTTCTTGAGAAGACCTGAAGTTGGCCGTGGTGTGGGCGTCAGAAGGGCTGCAGCCTGTGTCACTGTGAAGGGGTGGCATATTTTTCCTTTTTGTCTTTTTTCGTGACCGGTAACGGGATCGCAACCCTTGGCATCGCGCCCGCACCGCGCTCAACCAGTGAGCGGACCGGTCTCTATATGGGATCCGAACCCTCGGCGTGAGCACCGCCGCGCTCCCAAGCGCCGCACTCTACCGAGTGCGCCGCCGGGCCGGCCCTAAATGTCACTTCTTGAGAAGATCTGAAGTTGGCCGTGGTGTGGGCGTCAGAAGGGCTGCAGCCTGTGTCACTGTGAAGGGGTGGCAGAAGAGATCTCTGAAATCGGAGGGGAGGGTGTCCCAGCAGGTGTGGACCCGTCAGCTGGGGTAGCTCATAGACGTTTGAGGCGTGCGTGTACGCATTTGCGTATTCCAGTGCCACTGGGTTCAGCTAGGTGCAGTTTTCTGCACTCACCTGGAGTTTCTTGTGGATAAAGTCTTGCATAAGCGAGGTGGTATTCATATTATGCTCAGATTGTTCCTTAATATATCACTGTTTGAGATAACTTCAGGCATTCCAAACAAACATCGTCAGAGAATTGAGAGGTTTGCCAACCCCATCGCTTTGTCTCTACTGCCATATTACTTTTGCTTTGTGTCATCACAAACCAGGAAACCAGTGACACAAAGATCAAGGGTGCATGACAGTGCCAGAGGTGCAGTTCCCTGAAGGCTATTCTTTGGGCTCTGAGGTGTGCCCCAGGTTCCATGGCTCAGAAGCTTGGGTAGAGGAGGGAACTTGCTCAGTCAGGGTGGGCTGGAAC